TGGAGCCAGCAGCTAGTGGACGTAGTGATACTGCAGGTTTTTGACTCTTCCGGGTTGGCTTCATTTTTCAGGGCCGGTTGCTACGTCCATCTTTTATACAGTCTATTGTACAGATAGGACTTCAGGACGTTAGGCCTGTTCAGGACTTTTGGGGTCTTTTGGACCCCAGGCCATTTGGTTTAGATGACAGGTACTGTTTTTTGTATTTTTGAAGATTTTTTTTTGTAATATAAAAAGAAGGACATTTGTCATGCATTTGAAACCAAAAATACGTCAACTTATCAGAAAATGTATTTAGCACAGTATAAACGTCTATAATGAATACCAACAAAACAAAAACAAACTCTTGTCCTCTGTGGTTCCCCGTTGGTGGAACGAGTTACCAAACTGTTCAATTTCCTGTTACCTCCCTACAGCCTGCTGTTGGCATCAACGCCCTATCACACTTGACCTCGTTCTATGGCACTTATCTAGACTGTTTTTCTCCTGACTAGATCCTTGCTTGTGTTGTATCCGCTCTCAGATGTACGTCGCTTTGGATAAAAGCGTCTGCTAAATGAAATTGTAGAATTGTAGAACAAATATTTTGCACATATTCTTTCTTGGGGTCCATTGGACCTCGAAACACCTTCTACATATGGCAACATGAAAGTCCTGGAGAGGGTTAAATGTAGACGCATATCCTTACTCGTAAAAATACCAATTGTTGTGTTTAGAGCTTGTGTTTTGTATGGATTCAAAATTAATAATAATTCATATAACTGTGATGAACTGTAGATTTGCTGGTTTACCATCACAGAGGGCAGATTAGCTTTCCCACCATGTTTCTAGCATTGTGCTAAGCTAAGCTAACTGATTGTCAATTATGTTTGTGCTCCCATCAAGTGAAACAGAAGGTATCTGTCTATTTGGACTATAAATATATTCTAAGTCAGAGATAGACTGACTTTTTAACATAGATAAAGCCTGCGTCTGTTTGGCCCTTTACAAAGGTCCAATCTGCTCCAGAGGTGCCATGCAACAGCTGGTCCGAAGAATTTCACTGTTCCAATGTATAAGTGATGAATAAAGGCTTCCTAAAAGTGCATTCCTGAATTGTTCCTCACTGCTACTGAATCCTAACTTCTAGTATAATCTGACATGACACGAACAGACTCTGATAAATGTTCTGCTGCTTTCAGAACCTGCTGATAGAGCGTAAAGGTCGGAGGTTCATGCTGATGGGAGGCTTCATCCTCATGACCGTCTGGGCTGTTGTCTTCACCATCGCTCTGTCGTTTGAGGTGATTTTTTCCTCGGTTCATGAGTTCATGTATGAGACAGATATGTGTTTACTGTGTCGACCTAATTACTAGTTTTATCGTCAGAGGTCGGCTGTGTCGTGAGCTGCAGGTTTTATCACTCATGTGTTGTATGATGAGTGTCGGATGTCCAGTGATAACCCAGTCAGACATCTTAGTGTGACAAGAAGGAGCCATTAGAAGTCATAATCAGAGAGGAGCTGATAAATTCAGATTTATTAATTATCTGATGTCTTGTGTTGGGAAAATCCTTTGAGAAGAGAGGAGAGAAATGAAGATGATTTATGCTGTAGAAGTTTCACAGCTTTAACTTCTGTTATGATCAAATCTCTATATTATTAATCTATGAGATGTATTTTGTCTAATTGTTTGCTACTTTCCTCCCCACGTACAAACAGCACTACATATCGTGGATGCCGTACCTGAGCATGGGCTGCATCTTCACGTACATTCTCAGCTTTGGCATGGGACCAGGTCAGTTTTAATTTCAAGTTTAAATCAGGAACATGAAAGTGTCTGAAAATGCAGCAATAACATGTATATGACACACAATGTGCTTGATTTATTCTCCCCTTCACGTGATGATTATCCTTTTTCACGAGGTCTTACTAATGACTGAAGCTTTCAGTAAATGCTAATAATAACAGCACTTAAGCCAAACTTGAATGCTGAGAGTCATTTAGCATCTTATTGAGCTTTAAGTGCAACCATTGACATGAAAACCTGTGAACACTTCAGATGATAGAGGATGAAACCTTGAAGGTTTGCTTTCCTTCACGCATCTCCACTTCTGAAGTGAAGCCACTGATATTTTAATGTCAGATATATTATAATAATGTGTAAAAGTGGGATGCAGCTTGTGTAGTTGTGATCATTACTGCATGAATGAGCGATTCAGTAACTTGATATTTATTATTGCATCAGTTATGTGTGATTCACTGAAGTTTGATCTCAACAGACATTAATGGTGAAACCCAAACTATAAAAATTCATGTTAGAGCTTTATTGAACTGTAGTTGTTTGAACAATTTACTGTTATCTTTCCTTCTTTGTTAAACTAGAGTTATTATCAAGTAAAATCACAGAAAAAAATGTCTTAACTTTTTTGGTACCTGGAAAAAAAACAGGCCAAAACTGTGAATGTTGTCTACATCAAAAAATCTGTACTTTCACAATGTGTGACTACGAAATTACACTATTTATACTGTATTTAAATCAACTTAAAATGTCATTATTTTAAAGATGTTTGCTATTATTTAAAGAATTATGCATATTAAGGTTTTGAAAATGGTAATTTAAAAAAAAATATATTATTTTTATTTAATTTTGCAGATTTTCCCTGTTTTGTTGAATTACAGACACAGTCGTTCTCAAATGTATTCAGACCTTCCCATTAAAGAAGGAAACAAATCACTGAAATAAGATGAAATTGACAAAAATAATAATAAATAAAAATTTAGTGAAAATCATGACATTGCTTTTAAATTGTGGCTCAACAGAAATATTTAAAAAAAATTAAAATAAAATAAAAATAAGCATGATGGGACCTATAAACCAATATTCTGGCCCACTGCTCAGCAGCAAGGTGCTCTAATTTAACAGTTTTTTTTTGTTTTTTTAGTTATTCTTTTCAACTACAATTTAAAAGAAAAGTCTAATTTAGCTTTATTATAATTTAGCAAATTTTTATTTATTATTGCTTTTTTCAGTTTCTAGTTGTTTGAGTAACTTTTGTGAATTTTGCCTTTTCTTTAATGGAAGGGGATGAATACATTTGAGGACGCCTGTAACAACTAGAAAAATCACAGAAAAAGGGTGTTAAATGACTTCTTGGCTTCAGAAAAAAAGACAGACCAAAGCTGTAAATCGTGTCCACATCAAAAATCTTTATTTTCACGCAGTAGTTCATTCTTCAACAATGTGTGACCACAAAGTCAGTCAGCTAAAAAATATGATTATTTTGCAGATAGCATTGTTTCACAAATTTGTCTTTCTTGCAGCAGTGCCAGCCATGCCGGTGTGAAAGAATAAACATAATCGACATGTTTCTGTTTTTATTTTTTTCCCTCAGCCGGAGTGACCGGAGTTCTTCCCACAGAGATCTTCAATCAGACGGCTCGGCCTGCAGCCTACATGATCGCTGGATCCATGATGTGGATCAACCTGGGCATTGTCGGGATGATCTTTCCTTTTCTAGTGGTCAGTCTGTTGTGATTAACAGCTTTGTGAAAACAGTTGTTTAACATCTTCTGTGGTTCAGGGTGATCTTCGTCATGTCGGCTGAAGAGACCGGAGGTGCTATTGAGTTTCATTAATAAAAATGTAGGAGCGTTATTGTAGTTCAGGCCACATGAGGGAATAAATGAATAATGTTCCAGTCTCTGATGCATCAGTTTTTTTGGCTATGCTTTTGTTAAACTAAACTTCATAATTCAGAGTCTTAATAGTTAAACTTGTAGGTAAAGTCTCATTTTTCTGTTGGAAAACACTTTGGCTCAAGGTCAGATTTTTTTTGATATGATAAATGAAAATGGCTCGACTGTCTATGAATAATATACTCGAAACAAAAGATAAAAATGTTTGTGGAGCCAGAAAGCATTCAGCCTTTAGCACCTCCCAGAGTTCAGAGTCGGAAACTGCACAAATGAGGGAAACATGTCGGGATGCTTTTGACTTTATCTCGACTTCTATTCATTTGCTGAAATTTCGAAGGCTTTAGATCATTCCCAACAATAGAAATTCTCTCCTTAAAGCTGTTAAATTAGCACACTGAGGTCTGTATCTAACAGCTTTCTGTTGCCTTCCCTCCACAGAGCGAGCTGAGCGAGTACTGCTTCGTGCCGTTCGCCGCCGTCTGCGTGCTGTCGGCGCTCTACATCGGCCTGTTCCTGCCCGAGACCAAAGGAAAGTCTCTGTCGACCATCACGCGTGAATTCCACAAGCTCAACTTCAAAGACCAGGCGAAAAACTTTGAATCGCAGACTGAAGCTCAGTACCAGCTGGGTGAAGTGTGTCACTCCACCGCCATGTAGGCAGACAGACTTTTTCTCCTGAATCACGCCTCGCTTCGGCCTGATCTGCTGCAGCTGGACGATGAAGGAACTCTGAGAGGAGCTTTCGCTGAAAGACGCATAAATCAACTCTGACTCCTTTTTCTGGAGTGTGTGTGATGAAAAATGTAAAGGATTCATCTTTGGCATTTTGTGTGTCAAGTCATAAAAACTACTTTACATGAAGCCGACATAATGGAGTGAAGTTTTAATGTTATCGGACACAACGTAAGACATAAACACTGTAAACACATCTTATCTTAAAGGGCTATTTATAGAAAGAATCATCCTATGCAGTCAAATTTTGGCTTGATAAATTTATATATTTTTGTAGTTTAAGGGGACTTTAGTTTGACATCTTTGCAGTAGAGTTAAAAATCACTGTCTTACAAATCCAAGCTGCTAAATCACTCCTTGCTTTATTCTGAGTGAGCTGCACATCAGGAATTTCTACAAGATTTTTCTTGGCAATCTTTTCGGTGAGGATGTACGAAAACAAAAAACATTTAGTCGAGTTAATTTACACCTTATTAACTCCGACCTGTCCTCCTGCATCACCGTGCTCTCTAACGGATCACGGCGTTAAATGTTAACACTTTTAGTAAAGACTGAAATTAGTAATCTGCTGTTTTTACCACAGTGAAATGTGTGTAATTGTCTATGTTGAATACTGATGATAATGTTTTTCATTTGTCTAACTTGGTACATGTTGTTAAAAGAAGGACTCCAAATTATTCTGTTTAGTTGAAATGCTGTCACTTTGGTTCGTTTAGTCATCATGTCAACCATGATTTCTCTCCGTTTATTGTTGTTTTTTTTTTTTTTTTTTTATGTGTGAGTATTTGGCATGAAAAACATCCATTTTTTTTAATACGATATGTTTAAATCATCTCATTTTGTTTAAAACAATTTGACACAAATGGATTTAACCCTTGTTTGTACCAGCTGTATGCATTATTCTGAAACACTCAAATAAAACCGTCACAAAGATTTAAATTGCATCGTCTTTAAAGATGTCAAACGTGTGAAGCTGCAGTTTGAGGAAAATCCATCCATCATCTATACACCGCTTAATCCTCACTAGGAGGTTTGGAGTCTATCCCAGCTGACTCAGGGTGAAGGCAGGTTCACCTGGACAGGTAACCAGTCTATCACAGGGCTACACTTGGAGACAGACAACCAAGCACACTCACATTCACACCTACGGACAATTTAGAATCACCAATTAACCTCAACATGTTTCTGGACTGTGTGGGAGGAAGCCGGAGAACCGTAGAGAACCCACGCTGCACGGGGAGAACATGGAGACTCCACGCAGAAAGATCCCGGGTGCCCCCACCACCGCGATGTGGACCAGCGACCTTCTTGCTGCGAGGCAACGGTGCTACCAACTGCTCCACCTTGCAGCCCAGTTTAAGGAAAATGCATGAAAAAAAACAACGACAAACATGAAGATTATTTCATTAAACAGAAATATCCATCCATTATCTATACACCGCTTAATCCCAGCTGACTTAGAGCGAAGGCAGGGGACACCCTGGACAGGTAACCAGTCTATCACAGGGCTACACTTAGAGACAGACAACCAAGCACACTCACATTCACACCTACGGACAATTTAGAATCACCAATTAACCTCAACATGTTTCTGGACTGTGGGGGAGGAAGCCGGAGAACCCAGAGAGAACCCACACTGCACGGGGAGAACATGCAAACTCCACGCAGAAAGATTCCGGTGCCCCCACCGGGATGCGAAACGGCGACCTTCTTGCTGCGAGGCAACAGTGCTACCAACTGCACCACCTTGCAGCCCCAGAAATATCTTGTTTTAAAATATTTAACTCATTATATATCTCCAGGTACATAATGCAACATGCAGAAATGAAACTGAAATGCTAAATTTAAATAACTTACAGCAAAACTCAAGATTTCTCTGATTGCAGTTTGCACTTGATGCAAAGTGTCTCCTGTGCAAATCACTGTTACTCACAACTCTTTAAAATGCAAATCAGTGCAAATATGCCGATAAGAAAAGGTTTTGCTCTTGTTTTGTGGATAAATATCAGAGAAAAGGTAGAAAAGATCCTACAGGTTTAACTTTTGTGTCCACAAAACTACACAATTGATTCTATTGGGTGCTACTGGGTGATACACGTGCTTCATATAAGTATTAAATGCAACATGTGATTCTGTCAGACATCTCAGGAGAGATCCTTGACGTGTTGTTTGAACACGTGAACACGTGGCTGGACTTTAAAGACACCGTCCACATGACGACTACAGAGTTTATGCAATAGTTGATCCTGTGTGTTGTATTACACGTTGGTCTGGATAGTTGCCGTTTGTCAATTTAAATACACATTCAGTGCACAAATCTGTGAACATGATGCAGATATGAGCATGAGAATGAACCAGGCCCAGCATGGAGCAGCTGATCACTGCGTCTTGTGCATCTCTGAGCTCATTTAGGTGGAAAGACTTGTTTTGCTCTGCTGCACACGATCCTGTGTTTCATGCTGACGATGTCCAGATGTATCACACACACACACAAGAGATGGGTAACTCCATTCTGACTGGCAGTCCCTTTTATCTGCATTCAACCTGTGTGAAAGATTCTAGATTATTTTGATTGATTGATTGATTGATTGAAGATGTAAATGAAAAAAGATCAGCATCAGATTTCCATTTAGAGCAACCAGTAAAATGTGATATGTTAAAGTTGTATTCGTGTGCGTTTCAGTTGTTTGTAAAATAAACTCTAGTTCCTAAAGTGCAGCCCAACAGTTTAATATTCCACTTTCATTAAGCCCAGGCACCCGTGGGAGACGTATTTAAAAAAATAATGGTTTAAATTGACCAGCAGATTATTCAGATGTTTCTGATTTTAGTCAAACTCTGAAGATGCTGCATCCTCCTGCTGCCATAATGCAACTTAACTATAACCCTACTTTCTGCTCCTTCTCTAAAGTCTAACTACATTTAATGAGTGTATGTACTGTACCTCCATAGGTTACTAATGATGTACAATGTGCCCCTCGTGGCCTCACATATACAGCAAATCACTGATCCCTACATGTGCACGCCAGACCGCCACGTCCTTTTTACATGTCCTCATTACATTTTGTGACTGTGTTTGGTTTCTTTTGAGCTCCCTCGCTGATAAAATAATGTCTGACTAGTTAACAGAATAAGATGTCAGTACAACCACAAGACAGACCGGGTTTATTCTAGTGCAGCGTCAAGACACGATGATCTCTCTCTCGCTGCATAAATGGACAACTAAAGTCTATAGATGTGTAACTTTGGGTGGCATCCTTCATATGTGCTGCTCGGCCGCTCATTCTGCAGCCAGCATCTCAGCGCAGAAGATGGAGGAGAAATCAAAAACGGTAAGTGGACATCGTTAAGCTTTTATTGAGTTATTCTGTGTTTGCAGCACATTGCTTGTGCTTTTAGACTCAGTATGTTGGAAACTTCATGCTTTATAATAGAAATCTAAGTGAAGATAGTTTTCAGTTGATATAATTCATTTAAAAGCCTTTTTGTTTTCTAATAACTTACAAGATCAAGTTTTTCTACCTGAATCCTGACACAATAGGAGATATCAGCCCCGAACTTCTGCTGCAGAGTTAGTTTTGACTGGAATGAGTCGGAATCAAAGTCCCAGTTAAAACGTTAAGAACAAATTGTAGGACCGTTTTTTTATTAAGTTTTTAAAATGTTCTTTCAATGATCGGAGCATCAAAATTTAAAACTCACTCACTTTCTTTGCATTTACTCAGAGCTTGATATCTAAAAACATTTAACACATAAACCCAAAACTGTTCCAATTTACTTTAGTTACAGTGAGTAAAAATAGAAACAGCACCAAGTAAAAGTATTATTGCATTCAGCAGGTATGAGCAGTAAAAAGGTAGCTAAAATATAAAAAATATT